TGCTCCAGGTACACAATGACAATGTTTTGGTCTCAGAAGAGACCAAAGTCTCCCCATACCTCGTTCTTATTTCGTGACTGCGTGTCTCATGATCGTAATGCTTCTTTCAAGTTATTAATGCAGTTTATATTATGGAACTCCAATGGCCTGCAAGCATTCGCTTTCCCTTGCAATACTGTTGATTTCGTGAAGGATTTATATGCAAGTTCCGGAGGGAGGCCAGAATCTCACTCAGCTTCCTCGATGGATCTCGTACCTCTTACCTAAACCTCCGATCCGTATTCAAGACGCGAACGCTTGTCCAACTTTACTGCTGCTCCCACTGACGTTTTCCCTCTACAGTGAAGTTGCCAGGAGGCGGCGGCTCCAGCACTGGTCCGTGAATACCAGATGTTGGGATCCAGTCCGGATCACCACTTCTTCAGGAGGAAAATCTCCAGACGGGTCTTTACACCAATGACAAATGGCACTTTTCTCCTCCACTCGTACATACCCCAACTTAGGCGATATTTTTATATATATATATATATATATATATATATATATATATATATATATATATATATATATAGACAAAGAAGCCACAGCTTTGCTGGAGGCAGCAACAACCCCCAGTGATCGTGCACGCCTCACAGCTGTGCAGGCTCCCCATGCAGGGGACTTCCTTCTGGCAGTCCCTATGTCTGCGACAGGCACACGTCTTGATCCGCAGGAGCTCCGTATTGCAGTCGCTCTGCGCCTTGCTGCCCCTATCCACACTGTTCACAGGTGTATTTGCGGCGAGGCAGATGCTGACGAATATGGATTGCATGGCCTGCACTGTGGAAAATCGGGTGGTTGGCACACTAGACACGACGAAGTCAACGACATCATTAAAAGAAGCCTTGCCTCTGCTCAGTGTCCAGCGGAGAGAGAGCCCCGCAACCTACTGAACCGTGACTCTGTTAGCTTTGCCGGCCGACCAGACGGAATCACACTGCGTCCGTGGAAGGGTGGCAGGCAGTTAGCATGGGACTATACTTGCGTATCCACCCTGGCAACGACATACATCACCCTCTCTGCCGGCACGGCAGGAGCCGCAGCGACACACAGAGAAAAACAAAAGTCAGTCAAGTACAGGCAATTAGATCAAAGGTACAATTTCGTTCCAATAGGGTCTGAGACCCTAGGCCCATGGGGTGAGAGTGCAAGAAGGTTTCTTAAGGATCTTGGTTCCAAGCTCATTGACACCACAAGAGACCCTAGAGCAGCAAGTTTTCTCTTTCAGCGCCTCAGTGTCGCGATCCAGAGGGGAAATGCCCGCTGCATCCTCGGTTCCTGCCCGGCGTCGGAGGAGTTCGAGGAAATCTACAGCCTCTAGGAAGCGAACTTTTTCTTGTGTCCTCTTAATGTTCATTTTTTGTATGAAATCAGATATGTAACTGTATAACCTTGCATAATAAAGTGTACATCATAATAAAAAAAAAAGGGGGGTGGTAGGAGAAGTGAACACTCTTTCGCATTCAGAGTTAAATGTCAAGTTTTTCCCTGAGTGCTCTGTGTTCCCTTCTCTGAGGCTGTGGGTCCCTATAATTACACCAGTGGTGGTACCCCCCTATATATATATATATATATATATATATATATATATATATATATATATATATATATATATATATATATATATATATATATATATATATATATATATTGGTAGCAGTCTTTCTTGTAAACATTAAAACCATCTCTTCCCACAACCAGACCATCACCAGAGAAGTCTTAACAAACAACACAGAAATCATCGATAGATACAGCGATAGCAGGCGGCTTGACATCTGCGAGGCACTACACATCAAAAAGTCAACACCATCAATCAACAGCCAATTAATGCACAACTATATTCTACCCACTTCAAGACTCCGCACCAATATAGAAGTATCAAGAGGAAGTATGGGCCAATAGGCCCTTTGCCCTTTAAATTCTTCCCTTTCACTTATCCAATTTATACCCGGTCCGTCTAATTTCCACAAGCTCCACAAGCTACACAAGCTTCACAAAGCTTCCTGGCAATATGTTAGTAATGAATAAATATGATATATTTACTCATTATAATGTTGGTGCTCAATGTACAACACGAAAAAACATAATTTTAATCTGAAAAAGTATCTTTTTATAAAGAAATTAGACGAAAATAAAAAGCTGGTGACGCCAAATCAAGTCGACGATCCAAGCTTCGGTTAGGTTTGGTTAGGTCAGGTCAGGTCAAGTTAGGTCAGCCTAACCTAACATATCACATTTATTCATTACTAACGTATTGCCAGGAAGCTTTGTGAAGCTTGTGTAGCTTGTGGTAGTTTGTGATAATTAGACGGACCCTTTATACCCACTGAACCGTGTTCTGTCTTGTGTTGGTCAAGTTTGTTCACCTCATCCAAAACTGTTTCAACATATCACCTCACCCAAATGCGAGTATATAAGACAAGCTGTTTAGCGTTAGAATTAGTAAAACTCTGTTAAGTGTTTTCAGGTTACAGTTGTGTGTGTGTAAACTAAAGTCTTTGAAAATGTAATACGTTATTACGAAACGCGTTCAAGCGTCGCGTCAAACTAGAAATAAAAACGAATTTTGGAGAATTGATTTTTCAATTACCATCGACAGTATAAACAAACATAAGAAATATTGAGAAAATTCGTGTTAGAATTATTAATCTTACCTTTTCGGTCATATTCAACAACATATGTTTGCAAGAAAGACTGCTACCAAAATATACTTTATATATATATATATATATATATATATATATATATATATATATATATATATATATATATATATATATATATATATATATATATATATGTCGTACCTAATAGCCAGAACGTACTTCTCAGCCTACTATGCATTCCTATGTTTGTTTCCTTAGTGTTTCCTTAGTCTACACTAAAGAAACAAACATAGGAATGTGCCTAAATGCCAACAGCGACTGCCCAGACAGGTACAAGAGGAGTGTTGTTAACGCATATGTCGACCGTGCTCTCAGCCACAGCTCAGAATGGAAGCAAGTCAACGAAGAACTCTGTAGGGTAAGGCAGGTCCTAGTCAATAACGGCTTCTCCAATGGTTTCGTCGAAGACATCATAAGAAGGAAAGTGAAAAGCCATGCAACCTCTGAAGAGACAACTAACACAACACCTATACCCCCTATTAGACTATTTTACAGGAACTTCTTTTCCACAGCTCATAAAACGGAGGAAAGGGTCCTGAAAGATATTGTTAATAGAAACGTTATCCCTACAGACAAAAATCAGAGGATACAACTGACGATTTACTATAAAACCAGAAAAACGGCCAGCCTACTCATGAGAAACTCTCCAGACACAAAACAGAACGCTTTAAAAGAGACTAACGTCGTCTATGCCTTCAAATGCCCTCTTGGGGACTGTAAGCTCCAAAAAACCCAGTATATAGGCAAGACAACAACATCTCTTTCTAGGCGTTTAACGATGCATAAGCAACAGGGCTCCATTAAGGAACATATAATCTCTTCCCACAACCAAACCATCGCCAGAGAAATCCTAGTAAACAACACAGAAATCATCGATAGATACAGCGATAGCAGGCGGCTTGACGTTTGCGAGGCACTACACATCAAGAAGTCAACACCAGCAATCAACAGCCAATTAATGCACAACTATATTCTACCCACCTCAAGACTCCGCTCCAATATAGAAGCATCAAGAAATATGGACCAATAGGCTTTCTACAAACACTTCTATTCAATATCCATTGTTTCGTGTTCTGTCTTGTGTTGATGAAATTAATACCCTATTAATACTCTTGTTCTGTCTTGTGTTGATGAAATTAATACCCTATTAATACCACACTTTGTTCTGTCTTGTGTTAATGCCACATCACCCCTTCCACCTCACTCAAATGTAGATATAAAATCTGAGATGCGTAAGTTCTATTCAGTTGTGTATTTGTGAACTAAAGTCTTTGAAAATGTAATAAGTTTTACGAAACGCGCTCGTGTCGCGTCAGACTAGAAATAAAAATGAATTTTGGAGAATTGTTTTTTGATTTACCTCCAACAGTGAAACGAAATGTACGAAAGATTGAGAAAATTCGTGTTAGAATTATTAATCTTACTTTTTCGGTCATATTTAATAATATATATATATATACATATAACTGATATGTACATATATATATATATGTATATATATATATATATACATATATATATATATATATATATATATATATATATATATATATATATATATATATATACGTAATGTACAATTAGATAGTTAAATTTGATACTATTTACTATACAGATTTCGAAAAAATTAAGCTTATAACAAATTAAAACATTCTTAGGCCTAGTATAGCACATATATGTACTATATTAGGCCTCAGATAGCGTGTATTAGGCCTAGGAAGGTTAGGTTAGGGCACGTTCTTTGTAACATCAGCACAACAACGTTTCAGGTTCGTCCAGATATAATAGTACCAATTTATACTTTTTAATTGCCTTTTACCTGACGCCTGACAGCTGAGTGGAGCTGAGGTTCCGGGTTCGATCCCCGGTGGAGGCGGAGACAAATGGGCAATAGTTTCTTTCACCCTGATGCCCCTTGTTACCTAACAGTAAATAGGTACCTGGGAGTTAGACAGCTGCTACGGGCTGCTTCCTGGGGTGTGTGTAAGAAAAAGGAGGCCTGGTCGAGTACCGGGCCGCGGGGACACTAAGCCCCGAAATGATCTCAAGATAACCTCAAGATAACCTCAAGATAGTCATGTAGTCATGTACCTCAATATAAATACGATGGTCCACATCGCTCTTATAAGTACTACCTAAAGAAGAGGATGGACTGGCACTTATCACCTGTTCTTCCCTATCCTATCCCCCTCCCTTCACGATCCTCATCCCGTCCCGGGCACAAAGGAGTGACGGGGGGGGGGGGGGCACACATTACCACCCCTGGAGATGTGGTTATGTTATTTTCCCCCACAGTGATGCCCAGATAAGGGCTAACAGCCCTACCCTAATCGGCACTCATCCCGGCCAAGCAGCCATCCCGGCCAAGCAGCCATCCCGGCCAAGCAGCCATCCCGGCCAAGCTGCCATCCCGGCCAAGCAGCCATCCCGGCCAAGCAGCCATCCCGGCCAAGCAGCCATCCCGGCCAAGCAGCCATCCCGGCCAAGCAGCCATCCCGGCCAAGCAGCCATCCCGGCCAAGCTGCCATCCCGGCCAAGCAGCCATCCCGGCCAAGCTGCCATCCCGGCCAAGCAGCCATCCCGGCCAAGCAGCCATCCCGGCCAAGCAGCCATCCCGGCCAAGCAGCCATCCCGGCCAAGCAGCCATCCCGGCCAAGCTGCCATCCCGGCCAAGCAGCCATCCCGGCCAAGCAGCCATCCCGGCCAAGCAGCCATCCCGGCCAAGCAGCCATCCCGGCCAAGCAGCCATCCCGGCCAAGCAGCCATCCCGGCCAAGCAGCCATCCCGGCCAAGCTGCCATCCCGGCCAAGCAGCCATCCCGGCCAAGCAGCCATCCCGGCCAAGCAGCCATCCCGGCCAAGCAGCCATCCCGGCCAAGCAGCCATCCCGGCCAAGCTGCCATCCCGGCCAAGCAGCCATCCCGGCCAAGCTGCCATCCCGGCCAAGCAGCCATCCCGGCCAAGCAGCCATCCCGGCCAAGCAGCCATCCCGGCCAAGCAGCCATCCCAGCCAAGCAGCCATCCCGGCCGAGCAGCCATCCTGGCCAAGCAGCCATCCCGGCCAAGCAGCCATCCCGGCCAAGCTGCCATCCCGGCCAAGCTGCCATCCCGGCCAAGCAGCCATCCCGGCCAAGCTGCCATCCCGGCCAAGCAGCCATCCCGGCCAAGCAGCCATCCCGGCCAAGCTGCCATCCCGGCCAAGCAGCCATCCCGGCCAAGCAGCCATCCCGGCCAAGCTGCCATCCCGGCCAAGCAGCCATCCCGGCCAAGCTGCCATCCCGGCCAAGCAGCCATCCCGGCCAAGCAGCCATCCCGGAAAAGCAGCCATCCCAGCCAAGCAGCCATCCCGGCCGAGCAGCCATCCCGGCCAAGCAGCCATCCCGGCCAAGCAGCCATCCCGGCCAAGCAGCCATCCCAGCCAAGCAGCCATCCCGGCCGAGCAGCCATCCTGGCCAAGCAGCCATCCCGGCCAAGCAGCCATCCCGGCCAAGCTGCCATCCCGGCCAAGCAGCCATCCTGGCCAAGCAGCCATCCCGGCCAAGCTGCCATCCCGGCCAAGCTGCCATCCCGGCCAAGCAGCCATCCCGGCCAAGCAGCCATCCCGGCCAAGCAGCCATCCCGGCCGAGCAGCCATCCCGGCCAAGCAGCCATCCCGGCCAAGCAGCCATCCCGGCCAAGCAGCCATCCCGGCCAAGCAGCCATCCCGGCCAAGCAGCCATCCCGGCCGAGCAGCCATCCCGGCCAAGCAGCCATCCCGGCCAAGCAGCCATCCCGGCCAAGCAGCCATCCCGGCCAAGCTGCCATCCCGGCCAAGCAGCCATCCCGGCCAAGCTGCCATCCCGGCCAAGCAGCCATCCCGGCCAAGCAGCCATCCCGGCCAAGCAGCCATCCCGGCCAAGCACCCTGAACACCGGGGATGTCTCCCGGGGCTAAGGTGAGATTTATGCCTTATTAGGCCAGGGGGGAGGGGGGGCTTTGTCTAGTGCCTATAGTGAGGTTGTCACCTTCTCCTCGCCAATAATACTTCGTATTTTTTATATAACACACTGATGTATCAATAAATTTAAGATGATTATTGGTGGCTTCGTAAAATCTACAATTACTGCACCTCCTGGTCACTGTATTCTGATCCTGTTTTCATATATAAATTAATGTATTTTTCTTATTGTTGTTGTACCCAATCACTTGGGATGGATGGTATAGTGACGGTCTCCATTCATGCAGGTCGCCGTTCAATCCCCGACCGTCCATAAGTGGTTGGGCACCATTCCTTCCCTTCCCCCCCCCCCCCGATCCATCCCAAATCCTTATCCTGATCTCTTCCCAGTGCTATATAGTCATAATGGCTTGGCACTTTCCCCTGATAATTGTAAAAAAGTTACTGTTGAGAAAATCAGTTGGAGCAATGAGGGGGGATTCGAATCCACGACATGATTTTCTTTATTGATATATCACGTTAGATTTATTTGTGTGTGATTTTAATATTATTATTATTTGTATTATTAGTTTACACTTACAGGATAGAATAAACAAATCAACAATCGCCGTAAGGAAACAAAGAGCTTCCGTAGCCTTAGCACGACTATACAGCTACAGTAATACAAGGCTCCAGTGTCGTCAGTTAAAATATTGTATATTTAGCTAGAGAATTCCTCAAGTTCTGCCAGCACATGAGCAGAGTGAATGACTAAAGTGGTTGTGCTCTCAGAGGGTATTGGAGGCAGCAAGCGGTGGTTCCAGGAATTAAGAGGTCAGGTCTTGGGGGGGGGGGGGGGGGAGTGAGGGAACACGGCAGGATGGCAACTGCCGTGTTCTCCAAGGCTAAAACCTTCGTCAAGATTTGGGGTCTGACAGCTGAGTGGACGGTGCTTCGGATTCGTAGTCCTGAGGTTCCGGGTTTATTTATTATTAGCATCTTTACTGACAAAAGTAATTACAATTTTGCCTAATCTGAGGATTTCAATTAAGTCTTATTAAAGTTAGGATAATGCTGGTATTCACTGTCGCACAGAATAGAGGGTCATACACAAGACAATAGGTCTAAACTGTAGGCTGAAGCACATATATATCATGATTACAATCAATGTTTTAATGCATGAATATGTAAAAATAACTTTCTATTGTGCACTGCCACACAAGGGCAGGGATGGGTTCATAAGTGATGCAGCTTAGAAGTAATATGACAAAATTGTTCTTCATTCTTTAAAATGGACAAGCAAATTTTGGATAAATCGTCAGGATGTCGTCCAGAACACCTGAGACAATAAAATAGTTACACAGTTGGTGGTACAATAGGCCAGGAGGTCTAAAGTCCTTTACGGTTTCACATTCATCAATATAGTGTTCTAATGAATGCATTAAAGGTTTATCACAGAGTTTACAATCTGAGTATTCTGGTAGTGGCTCAGCCTCACTAACCTGCCAGATGTGTCTATAGCCAAGGCGAATTACCGCAATGACTACATCACATTGCCTGGTCCGGTTACTGTGCTGACCATACAAATACCTATTATTACAAAACTTGTCATAACTTTTAATACTGCAGCTTTCAGGTCTCTGGGCATTTCTTAGTTCTTCTAAATCTGAATTGATTTCTTTAATTTGTATGTTTCTAATAATTGCATTAGATAGTCCAAAGTCATAATCAATGTTTTCTTTCCTGCAAGCCTCATTGGCCAATTGATCTACAAAGTCATGTTTTCCAACTCCAACATGGGAAGGGATCCACTCAAATTTTATACAATAGTTATTATCATTGGCAAAAATTCCATTCCATTTAATATTACAAGCTACTTCAGACATTGTGATGTCTGAAGTATTTGCTGATGATGATGTCATGTCATTTAATGATGTCATTTAAGGACTGCAGAGCACTTTTAGAGTCACAGTATATCACTCTACCACCATTGAGCTTAAGGTACTCAGTGGCTAGATAAATACCCAATAGCTCGGTCTGTGTCGTGCTTGCACAGTTGATCAATCTCTGTGTACTAGACATGATCATTCAATTCCCTTTATATACTGGAGGTTCCGGGTTCGATCCCCGGTGGAGGCGGAAACAAATGGGCAGAGTTTTTTTCGCCCTGATGTCCCGGAAGTAAATTGGTACTTGGGATTACATTCATACAGCTCATTACAGAATACAGCTCCTGGGAATGTGTAACAAAAAGGAGGCCTGGTCGAGGACCGGGCCGCAGGGACGCTAAGCCCAGAATTCATCTCAAGATAACAACAATTCCCGGGGCCTGGTAGCCTGGTGGATAGCGCGCAGGACTCGTAATTCTGTGGCGCGGGTTTGATTCTTGCACCAGGCAGAAACAAATGGACAAAGTTTCTTTCACCCTGAATGCCCCTGTTACCTAGCAGTAAATAGGTACATTGGAAATAGTTAGCTGTCACGGCCTGCTTCCTGGTGTGTGTGTGTGTGTGTGTGTGTGTGTGTGTGTGTGTGTGTGTGTGTGTGTGTGTGTGTGTGTGTGTGTGGTGTGGAGAGGGAAAAAAGAAGTTAGTAAAGAGTTGATTGACAGTTGATATGCGGGCCGAAAGAGCAAAAAAGCTCAACCCCCCCAACACAACTAGGTAATACAAGATGTAAGCCAAGAGAGAGAGAGAGTTGAAGCACGTAAGTTCCACTTTGGTCTGGATACAATGCCTATGGCTCAGGCACAGGTTGATCACTTGATGCATCGAGTCAGGCATCGCCAGTTGCCAGGGGCCAGATTCACGAAAGCACTTACGCAAACACTTACGAACCTGTACATCTTTTCTCAATCTTTGGCGGCTTTGTTTCCAATTATTAAACAGTTAATGAGCTCCGAAGCACCAGGAGGCTGTTTATAACAATAACAACAGTTGATTGGGACGTTTACATGCTTGTAATTTGTTTGACGGCTTTGGTTACATTTATTAAAGACTGAGGAAAGATGTACACGTTCGTAAGTGCTTTCGTGAATCTGGCCCCAGGTTTTGAGTGGTGACTGGTCGTACAGGGCAGTGAAGCCGGGACCTCCGAGTGGGCGAGTCTGGGGGAGGACCTTACAGACGGAGAGCCCTGGGGCCAGATTCACGAAAGGACTTACGCAAGCACTTACGAACGTGTACATCTTTCCTCAATCTTTGACGGCTTTGGTTACATTTATTAAACAGTTTACAAGCATGAAAACGTCCCATTTAACTGTTGTTATTGCTATAAACAGCCTCTTGGTGCTTCGGAGCTCATTACCTGTTTAATAATTGTAAACAAAGCCGCCAAAGATTGAGAAAAGATGTACAGGTTCGTAAGTGCTTTCGTGAATCTGGCCCCTGAGTGGAAGCACCCGGGGAAGCCAGACTACCCCACAGTTCTGGGCAACACGACTGTGTAAGTCGAACTCTTGTTGAGTGTATTGGTGAGCAATGACTAATTAATCTGGGGATGACGTAATTAGTTTCTGAATAGGGATTTAGGATTATATGGACCAGATGGAGTCCAAGGTATTGACGGGTTAAGAGTCCAGAGGTGTGGACCAGTGTAGTCCAGGAATGTGGTCAGCAGTAACCTGGTCAGGTAGTCAGCAAGGTATTATTGGACAAAAGCGAGAAAAAGTTATATTGTTAATATATATATGTCATAAATACGAAATAATCTTGTTCTTCGGTAACCTTTCCTTGTAAATCCATGAACCATGAGGTGAACGGTGCTTCAGTGAGAGAATGGTTGGAGTTTGATTTATGTTAACATGGGCGATAATTCAGTTATATATAACTAATATATGTCCTGCTATACAATATGTAAATCTAAGTTTTCCACAATGGTGGCCTGCGGTAGGTATAATCCCGCTACACCAGCTACTGTTAGCGGTTACGTCACTCTAATGTCGGACAGTACCAGTAAATATCTTCTTTAGGTTAACCCAAGAGGTTATCTTGGGTTGATTTCGGGGCTTTGCGTCCCCGCGGCCCGATCCTTGACCAGTTCTCCTTTTCTCCTTTTTGTTACACCCCCCCAGAAAGTATCCCTTACGATACAACTCCCAAGTACCTATTTACTGCAAGGTGAACAGGTGAACCTTAAAGAAAACTAACGAGAAAAACTCTATCAGTGTAAGATAAGGTGCTAAGAATAGCAGCAGAACATCGTCCAACATATGATCAGACATTCCAGGAGCTCCTGAACACGCAGCCAATCAACATCACACTACAGCACCATAGAAAATCATATCACTATAGCACCCAGTGACAGACAAACTGCCTCAGGATGAGACGCCTCGCTCCCACAGCTGGTGGCTCACCATCTTCCACCTACTCAATATACACCAAGCCCCACAATACATAATTCTTAGATTAAATAAAGATTATACTATATCTAATTTCTAAACGTTCACCTGCACCATCTTCATTACTCCACACCATCACCAACAAACAAGGAATAGTGTGTCGGTGCGTCACTATCTGCGAGTCGTAACTAACAGCTTTCCCAGGATGTCTTAAGTCGTCGCCCTAATGATCTTGGGTTGTTTGTGGGAGCTATGGCAGCGTCTTGAGCAGGCGGGGTTTACCAGGCAGGGTTTACGACTGTTCTTAACACCTTATAACCGCATCTCCAGCCCCTTGCTAAATGGATATTTCTCTATACTCACAGAACTCTGCCTGCAGGGTCGAGTCTCTACTCTTGGGCTCCGCTTTTTCTAAGTTGTAAACCATTGAATCTATATTAATTATGTGGGCCTCTGATAACATGATTGGTGTTATAGCTGCTAATGCCTTACCTTGTGGTTGCCTTGCGATGATTTCAGAGCTCAATGTCCCAGCGGCCCGGTCCTCGCCCAGGCCTCTTGGTTGATGGACTGGTCAACCAGGCTGTTGGACGCGGCTGCTCGCAGCCTGACATGAGTCACAGCCTGGTTGATCAGGTATCCTTTGGAGGTGTTTATCCAGTTCTCTCTTGAACACATTGAGG